TCTATCAAAATTTCCAGAACAGTGGTAAATAGTAATTGTGGTAGCATTTTAGCTGTCTTGTCTTAATTCTAGTTAATAGTTGCTTACAATAGACATGATTTATCATGTTGAGGAATTACCTTTCCCGTGTGGGTTTTCTAAGAGTTTGGTCTTCACTGCAGTGAATACATTTGGAGTTGGGCCTTTTCTGCATTTTCAGCATTTATTGAACATTTATATATATATATAAGTATATATTTTCCCCTTTGATTTGTAAAAAAATATGGCAAATTCTGAAATGTTTTCCTTTATCAAAATTTTGCATTTCTGTGGTAATGTATTTTATCCAAATGAAATATTGTTTTAATGCTCTGTAATATTTTATTTAAAATTTTTATTTTGAGTTCTCTTGTCTAAATTTATAAGTCAAATTGGTCCCTAAGTTTCTATTTTGTGCTGCTGGTGAGGTTTAGTTGCTGGCTTAGACTGCCTCCATAAAATCAATGGGAGAGCTTTCCATTTTCCTCCCCTTTTATCCTGGGAAGTTCCCTGGTGAAACTTTCCCACTCACAACTATTTTAAAGATGATTAGTATTCTTTTCAGTCTGCCACCACTGTTTTACTCAAATTTTCTTCTCTAGAGCAATTTTAGTACTTCTTTCCTAGAGAATTGTCCATTTCATTGAAATTTTGAAGTTTACAGGCCTAGCATAGACTTGTATGTACCAGGCATTTTTTTGTTTGTTTACAGTTCTATTCAAATTTCTATATTTTCCTCTCAGCTAGCTCATTCAAAGATAAACATTCATATTTTTATTTCTAAAGTACCAGCTCCTTGATAATTTGATGTTTTTTGCTATCTATTTAGTTATTATTTTAATTTTGATATCTTTTTTTAACATGGTAGTTTATAAATGCTTTTATTCTCAGAGAAATGATTTCCCAGATTTAATCTGATGATTTTTACAATGCTCTTATGTCTTTTTTAGGCACGAGATGTGCGCACCAATGAAGTGGTGGCTATCAAGAAATTATCTTATACTGGAATGCGGTCTATGAAGTAGGTGAAATATGTATGTTTGTATTGGCATGTTAAAGAAAGCCATACCGTTTTTAATTGGGGATAGGTGGGAATTTTTTCAAAAAATATTGAAAAATATACAAATATTAAGTGTATATCTCAGTGAATTTTCTTCCACAGACTCAATGTGCCCATTTAAATTGTACCTAGAGCTGTAAACAACATTCCTGACATATACCAGAAACCTCCCAACTGTGTCCCTTACTTTAAATTGTTTTAGATATGTGCTGCTGACACGAGTTTAATTTTTTAAATTGTTGTTTAGCACTTTATTCTATAATAGAGGGATTATCATGTCTAAGAAAGTAAACTAGAATAAGGTACATTTGACAGTAAGTATACTGGATATAAATTTTTAATGGTAGAGAAATTATCTAATGGCTGTTTCAAATAATCATCAGGCAGCATATATCTAGTCTGAAAATAAGGCAGTGGGTAATCATCTGAAAAATAAAATTATTGATACTGTATTGCATGTACTTTTGTTCTTCAGTATTCTGATTAGTTCTTAATTGCATAAGTTTATAAAATGTCTACTTCCTAAGTGTTACCTGTTTCTTTAATTCTTCAAAAATTTAATTATTTTTAATTGTGGCAAAGTACACAAAACAAATTTACCATCTTAATCACTTTAAGTGTAAGTTCAGTGGCGTTAAGGACATTCACATTGCTGTGCAACCAACACCACCATCCATCTGCAGAACTCTTTCATTTTGCAAAAGTGATATTCTACACCCATCAAACAATAACTCCTCATTGCCTCCTCCCTGCAGCCCCTGGAAATCACCTTTCTCCTTTCTGTCTCTCTGAATTTGACTCCTTTAGGTATCTAATGTAATTGAAATCATGCACTATTTGTCCTTTTGTGACTGGCTTGTTTCACTTAATATAGTGCACTCAAAGTTCATCCATGTTGTTGTGTGTGTTTGTGACTCTGTGTGTGTGTGTGTCTGTGTAAAAACACCACATTTTGTCCATCCATCATCTGTAAATGGACACTTAGCTTCTTCTACCCCTTGGTTATTGTGAATAATGCTTCTATGAGCATAGGTGCACAAATATTTCTTTGAGTCCCTGCTTTTAATACCTCAGGGTATAGGCCCAGAGATAGAATTGCTGGATCAGTCTTTAATTTTTAAAGGTTTTGGTTTTGTATATTTTTGGAATCCCTATTTTATGGTAAATCTTGTTTTTTGTGATAATCACACTTATGGGTATGATAACACTGTTGTGATTGATCACTGTTCCATTATGTTGATAACTAAAAAAACTCTTAATAATTTCTAAAACCCCTCAAAAAACTCCATTTTTTACAAGTTTACTGTAATTTTATTTGCCATTCTATAGTACAACTTTAAAACTAGCTTTCCTAGGCAGCTTGTGTTGGAGTCTGTTTAATTAGTCATGTGTAGAACAAAAAGTTTCACCTAGGGCAGCATCTTCTCTCATCCAATATTGTATCCTTCCTGGAAGTGTTTTTTACATTGAAGAATACAAGTTTTAGCTTTGTTTTGTTTTGTTTTGAGAGTTTGCCTCCCAGAGCATTCAAATTTGAAATGTAAAGCCCATAAAACACTTTCTAAACTTAGCATCTCCCAGCTTACACATTTTACACTGTGAATATCTTCTGCTCTACTTTGTTGAGGGCTTATGAAATAACATAGGAGATATAGGATCTTAAATTCTAGTACAAAACATTTCTTCAAGTTCTGTATTCTAGTTCCCCTACCTTTAGAAATAGGATACAAGTGAGCGGTAAAGCTTGGAAAAGCTGAAACAAGAACAAAATACAGATTCTAAGTTCCCATCCCACATCTACTAAGCTTCTAGAGTCTCCGGGTATGGGCCCAAGTACCTGTATTTTCAGAGTTCCCTGATTGCTTCTTAGAAGTAACTATAGTTAGGATATGGCCTAAGTTTCTGAAGTTGTCATAGAGTAGCTTTAATTGCTGAAGGTTCATCTGTCATTTACTAGTAGGCATCAATGGGAAGGCTCTTCGTAAAATCCTGTAGGAAAATGTTTTCATGCTGCCTAGTTTTTCTGTGAACTTCCCTCTGTTATAACCTGAGTGTTCACTAGCATTTTAGAATATGTGCATTTAGGAATTTAGGTAATTACTTGATTTGAGTTTAAGCAGCAGAAAAAGCTTAACATTTGGTAGACAATATAAGCCAAAAACACAACAGCTGAACTTTAAGGTATGTAAATTATGCAACAATAAAGCTGCACAAAAGAAGGGAGAGGTTGAACTTTTGAAGAAAAACCACTAAATATAATACATAGTTTTTGACAGGCTTGGTGTGTGGTTGTAAAATTTTAATAAGACTCATTGATAATAAATTTTATGAAAATAAAAATATGTCCTACCTGGAATGGACTTTATGCAATTGAGTTGTAAACTATATGGACATAAATTATTTAAAATGTATTAGTTTGACATTTAAATATTACAAATGAAACAAAGTTGTATGTTCTTATTAACATTTTAATCTAATAATTACTTTTTTACATGTATAGCTTTCTAAGGAAAAGCAACTGTTCCTAATTATTTCCTTTATTCTTTTTTTCTCCCACAGAAATGGCAGGACATTATTAAGGAAGTCAGGTTTCTACAAATAGTAAAACATCCCAACATTATAGAATACAAAGGCTGCTATTTACGTGAGCACACAGCATGGGTAGGTATCTGCTCTCCCCTTGCTGTAATTTAGTAGGTTTAGTTTATAATTAATTCAAAAATGTCTCAAAATAGTTGTGTAAAGCCATGCACAAACACCTTGAAATGTTACTTCATACAGAGAATGGAGGAGCAGCTTTTCCTGGAACTCTTGGACAGTAAGAGATAATAGAACTTTTGCCAGTTTACTTCAGAGAGTCACCTGATCATTACGTGCATGGGAAAATGTTCTGATGTATGTTAGCGGTATCATTCTTCAAATGCTTTATCAAACATTTGTTGAGAACAATCCTATCACTCAAGGATGAAAATCAGCATATATTTTTGACATAAATGTATTGTAAACTATTTAACCACACAAGGATCTTGTGTGGAATATTGGTAATGAATCCTGAAGAAATCTGAACTGATTGTGATTCCTTGGCTGAATGACACTAAAGGTAGAAAATTGAGACATTTTATTGCAGAAAATGGAAATTAATTTTGCCCCATTGTTAAAACTAAGATAAGGTAGTAATCCTACAACAGTATAGGCATAGTAATTATGTCTTTTAAGAGGAAGGCTAAATTTTCTTTCAACAGGAATGACCTTTTATTTTTAATAAGCTATAGCTGATTATCATTTTAATATACTGAACTTAGATTTAGATTTGTAATGTTTGGTTTAATTTAGTGGTGATGGTTCTCCTAAATTTGAGGCTGTGGTTAAAGAAAAAACAGTGGCTGACAGGGTAGACTGCCTCTCTGTCTTTCAGGTTCTCCATCTGTAAAACAAGGATGGTAATAGGGTCTACCTCCAAGTGTGGCTAGGAGGATTAAATTAGTTAATATATATAAAATACCTGGCACATAAGACGTACTCTGTGTTGGCTTTATAGGAAAGATTTAAACTGTAACCTAAACTTTGTATATATAGTACCAGAGGATAATTTTCTGCTCCCTAACAATACCAGTATTGCCACTATAGGTTAATATTAATAGAATATGTATATTCCTTTATAGCTTTAGTTGGTAATTATATGAAACACACATCTACACGCAGTTCTATGTTGGCTTTATAAAAGATTAATGTAGCATTGGCTTAACTTCAAGTATGTATTTAACAAGTTCACAAAATGTGTAATTAAAGGTAATTGATAACTAGAGTTTGTTTCACTTCAAAGTATCTTCTCAATCTCCTTGGTGAATTTGTTTTATCTCATATAGAGTCTTTTAGTTTTAATAGTGTATTTTAATCTTTTTATCATTTTTTCCCCATGTAGCTTGTAATGAAATATTGTATAGGATCTGCTTCAGATTTTCTGAAAGGTAAGTTTCCTTTATTTATTAAGAAAAGAAAAGTATTAGTATAATAAAATGAGAATTCATACAGAAAGAGATTTTTTAAATAATGTTAAAACTCTTCAGGAAGAGTGAAAACCTTTGTCTTCTCTAGAGTCAGCGTGGTGTGCACTGTCCTCATTAAATATTATGTTTTAGCATACAGATGAGTTTTCTTTCATTATGATTTAACAGGCATTTTTCTGCATTCTTTATCATTAAACTTGATTTGTTCTTTCTGTTCAGAATGAAGATATGTAGCAATATAAAAAGGGAAAGCTTCTCTTTCATTGTTTTTATAATCATGAAATAATTGTTAAATGTTGTTTGTTAACTTTGAGGAAAATTGCCTGTGAACTATAACAAATAGGCACAACTGCACACTTGTTATAAAGTTAAATTGCCTTGTTTTATTATCTTGGAAAGCAAAAAGTTCCTTCTTGCTAAATGTTAGTTTTTAAAAATTTCCCCATATATTAGATATGTGTATATATATTTTTAAATGGAAATGTTCTATAGAATAATCATTTTCAAATGAATTCTTATTTTAAATTCACATAAAGCCATTACAAGAAATGGAAATAGCAGCAATTACACATGGTGCTCTCCAGGGATTAGCTTACTTACATTCTCATGCCATGATCCATAGGTAAGTACTTTAAAAATTATTATATATCAAGAAGCAAATGGCTTATTGAATTTATCAGACCTAGAATTTGTTAATCCTGAAAGCTTTATTTGTTTTAGGTAAATAAAAGTATTCTGGAGTTTTACAAACTCATATTTTTTTTAGATTATCCATGTCTTAAAAAGAATATACTAATTTATTTGATCTCTTTGTTGAGGATAATTTTTATCTTTTTCTACAAATGTTGCCAGGCTGTCTGAAGTATGTGCACTTTATAGATTTGTGATAGAAATTAAATTATAGAATAATTTAATTTGTGAAGTGGAAAAGACGATTGGGATGATGTATTGTTACTTTTTTCATTTTACAGATGAAGAAACTGATGGCCCAATTTGTGACTAACTTCCCAAAGCTTACAAGCAAGATAGATTAGACTAGAACTAACCTAGATCTTTTGTCCTCCTGATGACTCATAATGCAGATTTGATTCCATGACAGAGACAAGTAAAAGCGACTTAAGACTCTATGCTTTTGAGATAATCCTTGATAATCCTTGATACTGAATAGTAACTTAAAGATTAAACCATCATAAACTACATTTTTAGCATTGGTATTGGTTTTCCCTGTTTTTAGAAGGAAGCTAGCATTTTTTAAATTATCTATGTGAACCAGACAATACATAGTAAACTTATGTAGTAGCGTCATTGCAAATTAATGGGTTATCAATTTTTTAGATGAAAATACTAAGGTCCAAGAGAAATCCACATGCATAGTAAATAAGAGAATGGAAGAGTTGGAAGTAAAACCTAAGGTCTTCTCAACTTCAAAGAACCTATCCATTTGTTAAAAAAATCAAATGGAAGAAAATAGACTGACTTACTATTATATCCATTATAATACTATGTAGTATGAATTGACAAGTGCTTAGAAATTTATTTCTTTTTGAATGTATGGTACCCATTGGGCATACAATCCCATTATAATTTTCTTAGTTCACTTGTACATTGTTGATTTAGAAAAGAGCTTAAAAGTAAATTTGGGATCATTGATATTACCTTATCCATGTGTTTCAGTTTTCATTTTATATTTAGGTAGGAGAACTATGCTAAAGTTTGGAATGATAGGAGTAATTAAAAAAAATAAATTTAGGGCATGAGGTTCTTTTTTTTCCATTTTAATGTTAAGGGTATACTCAGAAATCTTACAGTTATGTAAGAATGTTCAGCTGAATTTTTAAAACCATTATTTATACCAATGAACAGGAACTCAAATATAGAGTATGTGCTATTAATTACCTAATTTTTTCTTCTGTTTCTACTGCTATTTTATCTTCCCTTTTAGAAAATTGTTACTGTATACTTACAGGAATTCTGTGTATCTCACTTCTTAATTTGGATCTTAATTCTCTTTATCTCAACTGAGAGATTATCCAAGGCCTTAATTATTCTGATTTCTCCTTCTGTGTTTTATAAAATTTTATATGATTTTTATCATTTTCAGTATAATCTTATGAAGGAAAGACAAATAATTTTCTGTGTTCTTTAAACCCAGAGATATCAAAGCAGCAAATATCCTTCTGACAGAACAAGGCCAGGTGAAACTTGCTGACTTTGGATTGGCTTCCATGGTCTCTCCTGCCAGTTCTTTTGTGGGAACGCCGTATTGGTAAGAATAGTCCTGTCTGGTATTGATCCTCATAATTGAAATAGGCAGTGTGTGGTTGTACTTTTTTCAGATGCTTTATCTTTTTTCTTGGAAATACAGTGCTGCTTTAGACATTACTCTAAGCACTATAGTTAGTTTCAGATATAGATTTGGAGTGCTGCCCTTGTATCTCCTATTGTTGCATTTGTCCCCCCAATGTTTCTTTCCTCTTATCATCTACATCATGTATTGGGTGTAGGAGTGAAAACATTTAAATATTTAAGAAGGGAGAGGATAGAAGTGCTAAGTGGAAATTTTCTTTAGATTTATACTTACTGTGTGTCAGTATCTCTGAATAAGAGTATCTGAAGACTGGTAGCTAATTATGAATTTTTAAAAATTTTTTTATTATGGAGAATTTCAAGTATACAGGGAAATAGACAAAAATATAAGGAAGGCTCACACGGCGGTCAGCTGAGCCTAACAGCACTACCCCGGGGCCCGGCTGCCCTGTGTACTTCCTCCTCTTGCCCTCCCTCCACCTCCAGTTATTTGAAGCGAGTTCTAGACATCATCTAATTTTATTCATAAATAATTCCATATTAATGCCAGCAAGTCTGGAGGGAATAATTTTCCACGTCTTCACCTTCCATAGGTGTTTTCTGTCTGTATATGTTAAGAGGTGTCTTAGGTCTACTGCATCTTCTTTTCCACTTACCTTTCAAATCTCCCAACTTCCTCTTGTTAAAGAAAGGCTTCTCACCCGTCCTGAATAGTAGATTGATGCATTGTTCTGAGGATTAAAAGCCTCAAACCATCACCAGAGGGACAACTTGAGAATATGTAACATCTATAATATTGAAGAGTTAGGATACAAAGTTTTGGCAAGGGCCTTCTGCCTTCACAGTCATCTCTCTTCACGTCCTTTTACTCCTTGCTCTTTCTTTTCCCCAATTATCTTCCCTCCCATCTTCTTTTCTAGTGGATCATAAATTACCTCATTTATAACTGGGACAATTGCCATGAGGACACATTAACATGTTATTTACATTGAAAGATGAAGTTTGGCATTTCCTGATAGAAAATTATTCTGATTTGAATGGTTGGTATGACCATGCAGACTGGGTTTGCTAATTAGGTTATTACACAGCAGTGTTTTTAATGAATTGAATGAGCTATGTCCTCAGCTCCAAGTTGTAAATATCTGTAAAGCGCATATACAAAATAATGTATATACATATGTGTGCATTATATCTTTTGCAACTAAGTTTATAAAATTTCCATACCTACTCAAAAATGTACAAGCAGATACATTTTTAAAATAAATTCATTGGAAGTAAGAAAATAAAAAGTTTGAAGGCTACTGTTCTGTATGACCAAAATTTTCTTATGTTGAACCCAAGTTTAGATAGAATCCTCTTCCCCTGTATAAAAAAATGGTTCTTTGGAGAAATAATTCTTCTTAATGGTCCCCCTTTGCAAATCAGTGATCAATATTTTATACTAGAAAGGAGCTAGAAAATTGTGCATTAAAAACAAAACTACTTTTTTAACTTTGTTGAACTTACTGACTCCCCAAGCTTACTTCAACATCTTAAAACATTAGAAGCCCTCTATTATTGGCAATTGGAAGTTACATATGTATTAATTTGTATATAGTATATTAGGAACACAGCACTGTGTACATGTTTACATGTTTTTACACAGAGGAACACACATACGCCTGGTGACAATCTTACTAAGCAGTCAGAAACTGTTCTAAATGTCTGTCTGTGCTTAACAACAAGTACAAAGGAAGTATAAGGTGAAGCATACCAGTGAGAACATTAGAGTCTAGCTGAAGATGTGAATTAGCATTTCATTTTATAACCAAGATGCCTATAAAGTTAATAATTGTATGATTTATTTAGTTATGAGTGGCTGTCCTAGCCACTTTTATCACAGAACACTACTCCTATTTGCAAAAAAGACTGACAAACTGCTTATTCGTTGTTGCTTATTGTGGCAGATATTTTCTCAGCTAAATGTAGTGAGCTTGTTTACTTCAAGGAAACAAGTGCCAGTGATAAAATGCCCTCTTTCAAGCAAAACTTAGACTTTTGTAATAAGATACTAAAATGAAAATGTTTAAGAATCACTGGCATAAAGGATATATAATATTAGAATCTGCAAATTTGAATTGATGTAGAATACAATCCTGCTCTGGGGAATCTTTCCTCCAAGACGCTGTTACATGATCATGACCAATGTTGAGAATAAGTCTAACGCTGTATATGCAATGGTAAATATTTACCTCACAACCTGTAATGCATTTATTTCCCATTATAAGAATTCTTATGTCCAGTTATATCATCTGGAATTCACACAGGTATTCTCCATGTAGACGGTCATTACGTTTTTAAAGAATAGTATACTTTTCTTTTCTTTTTTAACTTTAAGTGACATTTTATGTTTTAGGATGGCCCCAGAAGTAATTTTAGCCAAGGATGAAGAACAACAATATGGTACTGAAGTAGATATATGGTCTCTTGGAATAACATGTATTGAACTAGGTAAGCATTGCTTTTGATTACTGTGTAGTAAGTTTTGATCAATGTTTCACCTCAATTTCTGTACAAAATTACAGATTTTTATTTTTATGTCAATGTTAAGGGGAGCAATAAATCTATTAAAGTCACTTTGGTTATTTGGCAATTTATATATATATTAGCTTAGGTGTATTAGATTTGCTGTATTAAATTAGGTCTAAAATAGTTTATAATGTGGTATTAATTTTGAGGTATCTGTGTCTAACATTTAATGAGTATTTGTTAAACACCTAGAATATGTCTATGGTTATAGATTTACCATGTATGAAGGGTCTCTAAAGTATTCATGAATTACATACCACTACTTAAGATACTTAATACTTTGTGTTAGGGATGAGGATTAGATTATCAGCTACATACCTTATTGTACAGTTTAATTTTATGCACATATTTTATTCTGTTGCCTTAAGTGGAACTATGCTTAAGGCAGTGGACCATCAAAACTGCCCCTTGTAAGGGAACCACGGTGGGTAACTGAACTGTCACTGTAATTGAAGCTCATGGCCATCTTCTTGCTCTTGATTCCCTGCACCAGTCCACGGTACCTTCCCATTTTTTTCTCTAAGCTTTACTTAATAGTAGGAAATACTGGGAATATTTAATTGAACCATTCTAGGAGTGACCAAAGATTGAAAATAACACGTTAAAAGTAAAATCCATGTGTCATTTGGATAAGTCATCAACCTGGGTTTGTCAGTAAAGCAGATAGGGAAATTGAGGTAAAATAAAAGTAAAAGCTTGCTTATCACTACACAATAAATACTATAATTTCCACTATAACCAGGCTGTTTCTTCCTTGCAATCTAATATTTTTCCAAAATAATATAACCTTTAGATTTTTTTACTTTTTTTAGGATTCCTACATTAATCATTCCCTTCAAGCTCTGTATCATCATATATATTTTAAAGCTTGACATCAGCAAAGAGAGATTTGGAGATTACCATGTCATCCTCTTCTGATATTTTGGTCTCAATTTGAGGTTTTCAAAGTGTTACTTCCATTTGAAAATATCTTTAGGTATCTTAAACTCTTGTTCTTTTACTCCTGATTCTTCTTCCTAGCAGTACATCCTAATTAATTTCTTAAGAAACTTGGGTGTAAATGTACAGAAGCTGGTTAATATACTCTGGCTATGGGGTATTTTTATGGGGTATGTGGTTGATGCATATATGTGCCCCTTTGGATAGTGAAATTGCATTAATGATCCTTTTAGATATCATTGATATATATATATATATATATATTTTTTTTTTTAAGGATTCAGTTTGTTTATTTTTTTTATTTTTTTATTTTTTTGAGAGGGCATCTCTCATATTT